CTGCCGCACCTCGACTGGCTCACCGCGAGACTCACACCTGCAGACGGATTCTCGTAAGTACACTACCTATCCCACAATTCTTGTGAATTGTCAGATAACAATCTAACATATAAAATATGATTTTATGTATGTGATGGAAGTATCGAATTTTGGTACTCTATCTGACAGCCTTTACACTTGTAAATATTCCAGACATTACCCCTCAACTGTTCTGAAACTCATCGGAACTTACTCCAGACTGCAGATGATTTAAACTATTATTTCGAATTCACGAGCTGTTGCCCGCGACTTTGTCCGCGTGGTATTGGAAAACATACGAACTATATAAATTACAAAAAGCTACGTATCCGTCGGGAACCGGACATTTCATCCATCTAAACTTTCGCATTTATAATATAAGTAAGATTAAATTAGATTGTGAGTTACTGATCTTCATCCCATGTGTAGGAGTATAAGAAACATAGCGGAACTTGACGAGCAGTCAGAAGCACTGATGTCGGAGGAGCCGACGTAGCGGACTGCAGTACTGAATGCTTAATACAAGCACGTTTGACGCAACACACCTATTTCGTAATTCCTATACATGTCACGATATAATATGCACGTTTTGACTACGTTTTTATAGGGAATACTAATTCAAACCAAATCTATAACTCCTAAACTACCTAATAATGTTCAGTCAAAATAGCAGGTCCTTCGAGCCGGATGAAATACATGTCAGTCACACATTTTAATCAAAAATACCAAATAAAAGGAGACATAATTATCTAGAATTTAGTCTAGTTTTCAGTTTATTGAATATTAATTTTTCTATCAAAACTGGCCTGTTATTTCGTGACCACTCTAGTCTAATACAAAATTTAGCATTTACGTAAACAGTAAACTAAGAGAAAATGGCGCCCTATCTGTAAAGCACCGAGATTTATTTTGCTTGGCACAATATTAGTTTAATTAAAACATGCAGATAGGTAACCAATCGTTAACCATTAACGTATAAATAATCATTCCAATACATTCTATTCTTTATATCTTTTATTATCTAAATTGTTTAATGTTTTGTTGGATTTATTAAAAAAAAACTTTATTCTTTATATGAAAACTTATGTATTTTATTTTATATATTAAGTATTAGCGAATCCTAAATATTGTGTTGCAATCTTACTTAAATTAACCTTAATTTCTCATATATTTAGGAAAATTTAATGTTTTTCTACCACTGACACAGAAAATATATAAATTATTTTTTTTTGTTCATACAGACATGGTAATCTAAATTTAATTTACATTAATTTTTTCGATGTTGTCAATAACCATCTTTGAAAGTAAAAAAGAAAATAGATTTGTTTTTATTTCTTGTTAACATATAGGACAATCATTGTACTATTTCTCTGTGCCTTTTCCATCTATTAATCAATAAGTAATTAATTAGAGTTAATAGTACAGACACGAACACGCTGGTATACGTGATGTAGGACACATTCTGACTTGTAAACAATACTATCATCTATGTTATAAACAAAATTGCGACAAAAAAAACTACCCAAATCATGTTTTGACTAAAAAAAATAATTTCATAACATTATCTTAAGAAAACAATTACAAATAATTTTAATGAACAAATGCATGTTGTTAAAACAGTCTTATAGGTTATTTTTTGACTGTAGAGAATTGTACATAAACTATGAGAATACTCTTTAGTATTACCAAATTAATCTTTTATTTTTCCCATGTGTTTTCAAAATGTGAATCGCTTATTTGGTATGAGATTTTATGTATTGTGTCTTCTTTAGTGTCCATACATTCATTTATTATTAAAATTGACTACATAAGATAAGATCTCATTCAATAATGTAGACTATACTCTCTCTAGGTCTTAGCTGCGTAAAAAAACAATGTTAATATCAGTATTGTATAAAATGATATATTTTAATATTGACTACGTCAAACAAATCGCAATAGATTTTGTATTATCTAATTCATTCTTTATTGTAATTCATAATTTAAAACAAATAAAAAACAATGTATAAATGTGGTTAATTATTTATCTATGTTTTCTAATTATTTAATGTTATATCTGTAGTTCAACCTTTATAAATCTCCTGCAAAAGTTATAGGTAAGTAACAGTTGTAAACAAACTACGTATTTCCTTTTTAGTGTTACAAAGATATTTTCGTAAGGTGTACAAAAATTAGTCCATTTCGCCCGCGTACGTGTCATGAATTGCAAAACGAGAAGCTTTTGATATCCGGGGAAAATTTTCGAATGATACACAGAATATCTCTCGAAGATTTCTTTTTTTTTATGAAAGATACGGTTATATGTAATTTCTAGCTCCGCTGAGGGCGGTTTGCGATTGCGATTTGAGGGTCTCTGTTTCTCCAATTGTACGCACTGGCATTGAACTTTTGTTAGATGCCTGGGAATTTTTTCCATTATGGCAACACGAAACTACGCTATATTGCTTTGGTCACCGAGTTGATATTTTTTTTAGATGAACGGGAAGAAGCTAGAAAACCTGTAAATAAAAACCTATAAATTCAGGTTTGCATTTTTACTTTTACGTTTTGTGTTATCTGCTCATATTCTATAATCTACACCTACACACTCAGATTATTTATCCTATGCAACTCTATGGTATAACCTAAATCTTTTTGTAAATGTAAAATAAAAACAATTTGTTGAAAATTATAAACACAACTATGTAAAAATGTCTCACGTAATAAAGACCAGCTTTAAGCAGATTACACCTGTAACAAGGTATTTGTATAGTTGTGTAAAAAATTCACATTTGCAAAATGTTCGATTTTCCAGCAATAAAGTTACTACTAACAATGATATTTATAAGAATTTTACTGACTGGGAGACTCTAAATACAAAGAAGAAAATTAGTAAGCCCATGAAAGCATACCTAGAGAGAGCTAAAGAACATGATGAATTCATGAAAAAACAGCAGTTTGAATACAATATTGGTAAAAGACACCTAGCAAACATGATGGGTGAAGACCCTGAGACTTTTACACAAAAAGACGTTGATCGAGCTATCGAGTACTTGTTCCCCAGCGGAATATATGATCCAGCTGCTCGTCCTCTCATGAAACCGCCAGAAGAAGTATTTCCGGCACGAAAAGCCGCGGAATTTGATGAAGCTGGTAGACCACATCACTTTCTGTTTTATACTGGCAAACCTAATTTCTTTAAACTACTCTATGATGCTGCGGAAAACATTCAGCTCTTACAGCAGTTTGAAGATAAAGTTATAAGAAAGAAAGCAACTCCGGATCCAAATGGAACATTGGATTTAAACTCTACATTTTGGTTAACAAAAGATCAATTGGAACAACTTTTAGTAGAAAAACTTACTGATTTGGAATATGATAATTTCAAACTAGTAATGGAGAGGCTTGTAGCGCTGCCTTATTCATACAGATTTAAAGATTTCATTGAAAAATACAGAAAATCATTAACCTCACAGAAATTTTCTTTAGAAATTCCTAAACCAAGCTATGATGATCAAGGTCGAGCATGTGTTACAACTTATGAATGTTTAAGAAAAAAAGCTAGAGGTGATGTTACCATACGTTCACCAGGAACTGGACTAATAACTATAAACGGCAAAGATTTAACATACTTTGAAGACATTCAATCAAGGGAACAGGTTATATTTCCTCTAATATTTACTGGATTAGAGAACAAAGTGGATATTGAGTGTAATGTTGAGGGTGGGGGACCTTCTGGACAAGCTGGGGCTATCAGATGGGGCATTGCTTGGGGACTCCGCAGCTTTGTTGACAAAAATATGTTGGAGGCCATGCAAGTGGCTGGTTTGCTAACCAGAGATCATCGAAGGCGGGAACGTAAGAAGCCAGGACAACCTGGTGCTAGAAAGAAGCCTACTTGGAAGAGAAGATAATCTTTCAATTATTTTATTCTAGTAATTATATTAACACCTGAAAGGGATATTTGTCTATCAATGTATTTAGTTGAAGTTAAAAAAAATAAACAAGCTAGTGTTGGTGTAGATTTATTTTAATTAATTTATCTTCTTTTTCTAATATCTTTTTTCATAGATTTTTGTCTGCCACCAATTTTCTTTTGGAACATTTGGTTCTTTCTTTCTTTATTATATATTCTTTTCTTCATAACGGTTTTAAGACCTCTTCTTTCCTTTTTCACTTCACTTTCTTCAAACTTGTTAAAGAACAGTAATCCCTCTGCAAAATTTACAATGTACAATTACTATTTCTCGAGAATTAAGTTATTTATTAATTTTCTAGTAATAAACATTAAAAACATTACCTCTAAGTCTGGAATCATCCTTAGAGAAAAATAAGTTTTCTCTCCAAACTGCTTTGACCTGCTTTTCCTCTGGCACCTGGATTTCTTTCTGTTTATCTTGCCCTTCATCTTCAGAATCAGAAGAATCATACACAAATGGATTTCTTTCACCAGTGTCAAGTGGGTTTCTTGATTTCTTTTCTTTTTCTTTTGGTAGGTTTAAAGGTATATAGTCTGCACTTTCTTCTACAACTTCTACACAAAAAATACAAGAACACATAATATTTGCAAGCACTTACAAATTAGGATAAAATCATTGACATTCCTACCTTTATCATTTTCTTTATTACCAAATAAATCACGTAAACTAAATTTAGTTGGTTGAACAAGAGCTTCTTTTAATGTGTCACTGACTGAGTAAAATTGTTCCTTTGAAACTTCTACATTTTCTACAACTGTGGGTGCTAGTGGAGGCTCTACTGGTATCTCCTTGGATTTTTTTGCTTTCTTTGCTTTTTTTGGTACTTCTTGTGTAGTCGCTGGTGCTAAGAATTTAGCATGTTCTGGATGCATTGGATCATACCTTAACATACCAAGCTTAGGTCTGAAATATAAATAAAAAAATAGTGAAAACCACTTCAGCTAAGCTTATTACAACTAAATATTGCTGGTCCATCAATATTTAAAAAAAATCACTGTAGTCACTTACTTTGTTTTCTGGAGATGCTCAGAATTATGAGTTTTTATAGTAACACCAAGGACATCTTGTAAAATATTTAGTTGTTTAGATTTCTCATCAACTTGGCCAACATCAACTCTGTCATCACCTGTAGTAGCTTTTTCTTCATTATTTTCATCATCAGACTGATCATCAATAAACCTTTCATCTAATGTGAACCGCTTGTCAGATTTATATCTAGATTGTAAATCTAAAATCTGGAATAAACAAGAATAACTAAAACTTTGAAGTAAAATTTTTATGCCACTAAATGTTATGTATGAAAATTAATTGACAAACAATTCTGTGGCACTTCAAGTAACTTACCTTTTGTCCTTTTTTCCCTTCAAATTGTTTCTTTATTTCAAAAGTTACTTCGGAATCACTTTCTTCATCATCAAACAATATATTCTTTCCATTTTTAGGTTTGTTATTAATATTATCTTGATAAGTTGAAGTGTTCTTATCTATGTTACCGTCTTCATCATCAGAAAATATAACTTTCTTATTTGGTACTTTATCCTGGAAAGGTATTAACAATAATGCTATGAATGTTTTATTTTAATTATGACATTTTTCCATTGCAGTTACAGCAGTATTACTTACAATTCCAACCAATCCCGTTTTAATTATATTCTTTTTCTCTTTAAACTCTTGCCTCTTTCTTTTCAATGATTCTAATCTTTTCTGATCTGAACTTAACTTTTTATCATCTCCAATATTTTCATTTATATTATTAGACTGAAAATCAGTACTTTTGTTGTTCTTGAATGCTTTTGGATTTTTATACAATTGGTTATCATTTGTCCATGTTTCATCAATTTTCCTTTTCGGTGGATTTAGTCTTGTACCTAAGTTAATTGTAGGATTCTCTTTATTTGTATGGCTTACAGTCTCTTTCTAAAAATATTATTACACATTAGTACATTTTGAACAATACAAACCTAGTAACTTATAACAATTTCTTCTTATTTTGCTTACCTTTTCTTCTTTTTTACTAGCTTGTTCTCTTTCCCGCTGAAGTCTTTCTAAGAAACTTTCCCTTGCTCGGGTTACATACAATCTTTGTCCATTAAAATCTACATCAGCTATTTTCTTTATGCCTTAAAACATTTAAAATTATTTCATCAGTATTGTGAATAGCGTATAAATAATAAACACTACAATTATAACACCTACAAGACTCAACCTCATAATTCGAAGCAGACAAAGTTAAAAATGCAAAACGCTTTTCGTCATTCTCAGCTCCAGGTTTTTGTTTTATATCCAAATTGATAATTTCTCCATAGCTTGTGAAGGCTTCACGTAAATCATTTTCACTTAAACTTTTGGGGATATTTCCCACAAACAAACGAGTATGGAACGACATACCCTGTAAGATATTAATTATTTATATTCTCTTAAATTAAATAGGGTTAAATAAAAGTAAATAAACCCAAAAACATGCGGTATTCCCGCATGCTAATCTGTCAATGTCATAATCGTAATGACAGATGCGCGTCAAGGAATATGTAGTGTTGCCTGCTGTAAATTACGGTTTTAACAAGGGGAAAGCCAAACAAGAATTAAGTTAGATTAGGCTATCATATTTCATTGACACTTCCTATGTAGAAACTTTATAAAGTCAAATGTTTTACCTTTATTTAACACTGGAAAATATGCCCTATTGAGTGAGCAATCCAGTTTAAGTATTGTGTATATATTTGTAATACCCTTAGTTTTAGATAAAGGTAATATAAAAACTGATACATGAGTGTGTAGTAGAATATTCTTAGCAGCTTAACGCAACTTTGGATCAAGTCGGATGCGTTTTCGTTTACTAAACGAGTCCAATTTACTAATATTTAGTATTAAAAATAAGAAAATAAAAAATGATATGTAAAACTTTATAATTTATTCCATTTTACAAAAAGAATGTTAATTATTATTTATATATTAGTATTTACAATATAATATCCAATAGATTGGACATATTTGGAGAATAAAGTCAACATTATTTCAACATAAAGACAAGCAAAATACATACGAAATTTCAATATTGGTCTTAATAGACAAATCTCAAAAAGAACACATAAAAGGCTTATTCTATATTAAAGCTTATTGTCTACAACTTTGTGAACAAAATGGTAAGACTTCAGACCATTGCTTATTAAGGGTTACCATTTTGTTACTCTCTTTTTTCTCGGCCTCAAAGATCGAACAGATATATTTAATTCAGAGACATCAGATTGTATTGTTGAAGAAGTTAAATCAGAAGTTTTTAATAATTTCGTCTTCTGTCGCGTCATCCTGTGACTAATGAGAGCGGTTTTAAGATTATCCTTAGCATTTAAATCGTTTATTGAATTATTCGCTCTTCTGTTTGCTCTTAACCATCTTCCTGATACATTAGAAACATTATTATCGAGTTCCGGTGAATTATTCTGCTTTTGAATTTCCTTCGGTTTTTTCAATTTACCATTTTTATCTTGATCACATTTAGTTGGCGTTCTTTTTGTAGCTGTTAGTTTAGTTTTATTTATGGGAGAATTAACTTTTACATTGTCATCTTTTTTGATCCCTGAAAAATTGAAAATATAGTTGAAATTGAATTATTACATACATTTTTTTACAAATTAATAGACATGATGTTTTTATTATTAATATCTGCTTATCTAAAAGAAATAAATATCCAATTTTAATTATGCACTAGTCTTTTTTCCCTAATTGTTAAAAATCATAACAAATTTTAAACTTTGTTACAAAAAAGTTTATTTCATTACTTACTTTTATTAGTTATTGGCTTGTTATTTTTACTATCTAGTTCTGTAGACTGACTGACTAACTTTAGTCCAGTGACATTTGTATTTGTGTTCAATCTTTGACATTTTATGATCATAATCCGCTTGCCTTCAATATTTTCTTTATTACTGCCATCTACAAGGTACAATTTTTTATTGAATACCAAATTCATTCTAGCCTTTATTTACTAGTAGTAACAAATAAGGGTTTATCAGTAAAACATATTCAAAGCTTAAACTCCATTCAACGCAAAACTTAAGTCTAAAATTATAACAGAATGTTGAATTGAAATAAAAAATTATTAAATCTTTTAACAAACAGACATATTGTGATTCCATTAGTTTAAGCAAACAAATAAGCCACATTCCAACAAAAATTAAAGAGTGGGCAGAAGTAAAAAGTGAAACAAATCTACAAAATAATACCATTATATGAAATTTTGGATGGATGGATTTGTGTCACAACTTATTTCTAAAACAGCTTAATGGATTTAGATAGGCAAAGATAAAGACACAGACTATTTACAATTTTTTTTATTCGACATGGACAAAGTAACTGACAAAAGCTAGTAAAAGTGTATAAATAATTGTATTGCAAAATATAAACTTACTTTCTTCAATAGCTGTTAAATTTGTTTTACAAATTCCTGATTTATTTGATAGATCCAGTTCACTCTCAAAGTCCGTGTCCCAAATAGACTTTGGGTTATTAGCAGGTTTTATAATAGCATCAACCTTTTGACTTGTTTTGTTAACATGTTTAGTTTTAGTATTAACTACGCCATTTTTATTTTCAAATTTCTCTTCTTTATTAACTCCTGTAACATTAATATTTGTAGAAAATTATAACCATGAATTTGTAGTCGTATTATTGAAATAAAAAATGTTTTGATACAAGTATTTCCTAAGATTAAGGACCTGTCCCACCAAATTGTAAATTGTCGGATAACAATCTAACATGTAAAGTATGTGATGAAAATAACGGGTTTTGTTCCCTTTTTTAAACATCATTTTTAAGCTAACTGAGCCTCTATTAGCCAGTGGTGGGACAGGCCTTTAGCGAGATAAAATGTTTTCATGTTTTGACCAATGCACTCATAACACAAGCTGCAGTTGTAGATTATGTAAATATTTAAATAAAAACTATGTGAAATTTATCATATGGTGTGTAACAAAATATTTACACTAATGTACTGTCGATTTAGATTTTTTAAACGACTTTCCAAAAGACGGAGGTACTCAATTAATCTGTATGTTTTTTTTTATGATAAAGTAATTACTATTTGTCAACATGCAATGCCAATAGGAACTCTAAATTTTCTCACTGAGGCATAACATTTTAACTTACTTTTTTTAGCTGTAAGTGTTGTATCTATTTTACTTGCTTTTGTAGCTTGAGGTAAAATACCACAACTTTCAAGGTCACTCTCAAAGTCAGTGTCCCAAATTGACTTTTGATAATTGTTAGCAACTGTTTTATTTACATCAATGTTGACAAACTTTGAGTTATTCTTTTTCGTTCTAGAATTAACTGGAACATTTGTGCTTTCACAATTTTCTTCATTATTAATATCTGTAAAAGTATAAGATTATAGTAATCCAGCTGTTGCTAGCGACTTTGCCCGGTAAGAATTAAAAAAATACCAAAAATAGCCTATATTACTCGCAGAAAAATAACCTTTCTAAGGGTGAAAGAATTTTTGAAATCGGCCCAGTAGCTTTTTTAGTTATTTCAATACAGACAAAAACCCAAAAATACGAATCTCCTCTTTATATTATTAGTATTGATATGTATTATTTTACAACGATATTTAATATTTACATTTAGAATATTGAACAGGCTGGATATCAGAAGCTATCAATAGGTAGAGAATTTTTAAAATTACATGGATTTTGTGACTTGGTGAATTTTTAAAATAATATGTTGTTTATAAAAATTTACCACAATAAGGTATCATGCTTTAAAAACAAAATTAAATCAATCATAGAATCTGTTAGGTAAGCTTTACTTACTTTTCTTAGCTGTAGCATTATTTGTTTTGCTGTTTCCTGCTTTTTTAGGCAAAATTCCATAACTTTCTAAATCACTCTCAAAGTCCGTATCCCAAATTGATTGCTGACAATTATTTGCAACATTTTTAATTGCATCGACCTTTAGACATTTTGTAGTATTTTTGGCTGAAGCATTAACTGCAATACTTTTGTTATTTTCATTTTTATTAGTATCTAAAATGAAATGTTATGGAGTTCCCATTACTAGAACATGTTAGGTATTAAATACAAAAACTTACGACTTTAGTACTTACGTTGATTAACAGTAGCCTTACTTCTTTGACAATTGTTAAGTTTATAAGGCAAAAATACATTATTTTCCCAGTCACTCTCTATGTCAGTATCCCAGAATGACTTTTGATTTGTTTTTGTAGCATTTTCATTGCCATCTACAAAAGAAAAAAATAAGTATAGCATTAAATCTATTAGAATTAATCTAAAGGTCATTTTTAAAGAAAATCTTAAACCCTGTGTTTTTACTCCTGTAAAATTGTATATCATACTAATATTATAACTAATACTATGAATGCGAAAGTTTGGATGGATGGATGGATGGATGGATGGATGGATAGATGGATGGATGTTTGTTAGAGTTTGTAGCCTAAACTGCTGAACGGATTTTGATGAAATTTAGTATAGATGTGGAAGATAGTGTGGAAGAACACATAGGCTACTCACTTTTGTTTTTGTTATCCCATGCGGACAGAGTCGAGGGGGAAAGCTAGTAGTACATACACTTTCATTAAGTTTTTGTCTAATAAATAAAAAAAATACAAACCTTTTATTACATTACTATCGGTTTCACTTGTTTTATGTTTCTGCGATATTTCAACATTGGATGTTAAAATGTTTTGAGGGTTTTCATTAGAATTTCTTTTCTGATTGTTTTCATTAACAAGTATTTCCTCATCGGTATAAGTTTCGCTGCCATCCTCAGCGTTGCATGTTGACAAAACCGAATCAATATCCCATTTTGCACAATCACCTTCACTTTTTCTATTCCCAGAGTCAGTTTTATTTGTTGTTGAGTTTATTAAACTCATTTGCTCCACTGGAACTATTTTGTGAAGAAGATTCAATAGGTTATTGTTATCTTCTGCTACATCACGACTCAGACAAGACTGTGAAGATGCTAATTTTCGTGGTTTCGTTTTCTCTTTATTACTCACATATTTATTTACTAGGGGACTACTTTGAGGTGTGTCAATCTTGGCCTCAATTACATCAAGTTTTTGTGTAAACAATTTCCGTTTAATAAAACTAGGCCTTTTGGATATGTCATTAGTATTCACAGATTCATTATTGTTGCTGTTTCTTTTATCCAAATTATCAATATCATCTGATACTTTCGTAGATTCATGAATATTCTCTTTACGTATTGGAGATAAAGTATTTATTACTGTTTCATTAATTATAGAAACTGGTTGAGCAGATTTAGATATTAATATTTCAGGTTGCGCTTTCTTCTTTTTAAGCTTGCCTAATTTTGTTACAGGTATCTGTGGTCTTGCAAAGTCAAAATCATTCTTAGCATTATTTACAGGGTTTAAATTTTCTGGTTTTTTAGGTGTACCAGTTTTCATCTGTTTGGATGCCTTTGGATTATCCTCTTGTTCATTAGAATCAATAGTTCTTTTACGAGAAGCTGTCCGTGTCTTATCTGCGCCTTTGTTTGTTGGTACTGAAAATATTTCTTCATCACTGTTATTTTCAGTTATATCTCTTGAACATTGTCTTATAAGATCAGGTACTTGATTTTTGTTAGAATTACAGGATTTTGTTTCTGTTAGTGTAGGTCCATTAGAACTAGAAAACCTTTGTGTAGGTAAAAGAAACCCTTTTTTAAATCTGTCTTTTAATAAGAAAGAATTTTCTTTACTAGTGTTTGTACACATTTTGCTTGCTGTGGTTGCAACAATTGTTGTATCTTCATTTATGTTCTGGTCCCGGTTAATATCAAGTATATTTGTATAATCATTTTCTATGCAAGGTTGGTGTAGATTATTTTTAATTTTACCATTTGTATCTTTTGGTTTACAGATTTTAGGGGATATGCTATGTTCACTATTGGAAGATGATTCACTTGCCATTTCCCCTAAGTCTTCTATGGATCGCCGTCTTCTTACTTTATTCATTAGGATCCTACGGTTCCGCATATACTCCAGTCTCTTTCTTGACTTATTCTTTAAGAATTTATAACATGCAGCTTTTAACAGTTTTTGATCATACTTGTTAAAGTGTTCATTTTTTAATGCAACCACTATATCAGAAGCAGTAACACTTGCAGTTGAATCTGAAATTAAGACGATAATTAAATATTTAAACTTAAAATATTATAGAATAAAATCTAGTAACTTGATTATAATTTAGTTGAAAAATTGATAAAATTTTTTATCATTTATGACACAAAAAAAATTAAGGCAATAACATTCAATAGTAATCTTAGTACGATAATAAAATTGTTATTCCCGGGTTATTTTTATGATTCTTAAATAAAGCATTATCCTCACACAATCGCCAAATTAATAATATTAACTCTGTTGCATTCATTTAAAGAACATTCATCCTAAGTTTGCTACAAAGTCTAAAGTTTATAATGATAAACACGTACCTAAACTCCGTACGGAAGCAGGTGAACGGTTTCCACGATTGTAAACAGACTGATGAGAACCTATATGACTTCGTGTGGATAAACTACGATTGTAAGGGCGACTGAAATGGGAAACATTATATGCGGACATTGGAGAAGTCTCTCTTCTATAATATAAACTTCGTTGACCATTATTTCCGTGACCATATTTTGGTCGGTTTACATTCCCGGGCAGCATTTGCATTGTTGAAGATGGAAGGCTAATAGTTTCAAAATCTATATTTGGACCCTTCGCACGGATTGCCTGTAATGATAACATTTCTAGTAAATAATCAATTTCAATAAATCAACTTGGCACATCAACACAAACAATATATTTACCATTCCCTCGTTTGCAAAACTATATTGATAACTTTCTAACAAGTCGTCATCACTGTCGGTCATTTTAATAATTTATTCACACACAAAGTAGCACATTAACACTTCTGTTTATTTTCAATTTATTCGAAAAGGGACATATTTCAATAATAGCATCAAGTAGCGACAAGCGTCGGAATTTTTTGATTTGTTTGGTTTAATTTTGATAATTCAACGTAACGGTTGACACCATAGAGTCAAGAGCAAAATAACCACAGACAATTAGAAAGTGACAGCGTAGGGCTGTTCGTAAGAACAGGATCTATACTTTTCCGGTAGAAAAAATAAACCGATAAAAAGGTACGTTGGAAATAATTTAATGTTTAAGTCGTTAATCAAATACATTATTTAACAGTCCTAATTTTTTTTTATTTAAGAGGAAATATGGCGTTATGCTTGATTCGTTTGGGCAGGCACAAATTGTATGGATTTACTGGCGCTAGTTTGTGTTCACATTATGCCAGTTAAATACCAGTCAAAATATTATGCGCTACTATCACTGTGCACCAAGCAACCACAAATAGTACTATACTTAACAAACGAAATATCTCAGCAGTGTTTGTATTATTTCTTTTTAACATTATATTTAAATGTTAAGTTTTTTTCGAATCAGCACATAACATCCAGTAGGATTCTAGCCTTACCTTTTGTTAAGATATCATCTTACCTTCTATAACATTACTATAGTGGTGCTATTGACCAAGTGTAAAATAGCATTAAGATATTGTCAGTGCCACCGGGCTACCTTAGCGATTGTTCTGATTGTATTTGCATAAATAGAGTTTTAATCTTCTTCCATCCTTATACAAAGACGTTTTACCATGGTGATAAAGGCAGCCTTGTTGAAGTTGAATGTGTATTTAAAATAAAAAACAAATGTAGTTTTAATGAAGTTACTTTATTGATAAGACTGACAATCTTAAAACTGGAGGCTTTGTTCATGTCTGCAGTTAAGGCAATTTATCTATGCCACAAGTAAATAAATTATTTATCTATAAGTCAACCAGCAAATAACATCTCCTATTGCCAACAAGTCGTTTGAATCTCCACAATATAATTGCTCCTCTAAATTAACATAATCTGGATATTAAAATATTTCTAATGTTAGATATATTAGTGCTAGTCTACATTCAGTTACCAAAAGTTAGGAAACACAAATGATACTTTCCTCTTTAATGTTTTATTTTACTTTTTATTATTACTCTAATGCCAGCCAATTCATAACGAAACTATTCCATGACAATTAGTACATTCGGTGGAATATATTTCGTTCAGATCTAATTTATAATCACTTGTATGAACATTTTAGTACCAAATATGTTTTCAGTCAATTTCGACATCATAACAGAAACAAGTAACATTAAATCTCTTCCATATTTAACAACCTATTAAATGCACGTTTATATCCGGACCAGTGGCCCAAAAATAATATATGTCACATAGTTTATGCACCAAATTCAATAACCTCCACATTAAAGGCGTCAGAAGCAAGATTCTTCTTCAAAACATAAAGAACATAGAAAGAAATCAGTCGAAAGATAATGCTCCCAAATAAAAAAGGAATGTACTTAGATATGACACAGCCCTATCTGTTAAGACGAACTTTACATTTGTTTTACTGCACGAATAAAAAGAAATTAATTAAAAATACTCAACTTGTTTTGATATTTACAAAAAAATAATCAAATGTCAGTGACACATAAAAGATAAACAATTATCAAATCATAGTAAAAAGTATTGAGTCAATGTAGGAAAGCTGAATTTAAAAAAAAAACTCTAATTAAAAAAGTACGAATTTACGATATAGATATATGTTTGATTAAGTGATACATATAGGAACTTCAGTATAAGTCTAATAAATTTTCGGGCCACTGTCTCCATATTTATTTAGCCTACATGTACCTTACGACTCATTGGCTGTGAAATTCTAAGCACTTGATACTGTTTATTATAAAGCGATATAATTTCAAGTTTAATATACAAAGAGCACTATGTTTACGATGTTCAGTACTCGTCCTCCTCCGGCGGATGAGGGTTTTCACCGTCCAGCTCCTCGGGAGGCGCAAAACCGTCCTAGAAATAAAATTTTACTAATAAAATGAATTAGTATTTACAGCAGTAATAGAATGAAATAATACCTTAAATCCAGAGGTCGGCAACCTTTTGTACAAATAATTTTGCTTACAAGTTGACACTAATCGAGTCATGAAATGAACCCAATGTGACATAGTTTCTATTGGTCACAAAAAAAATAATGGCATTTTTTTTAATTTCCTAGTTTTTTCGGCCGATTCCGAAAAATGCTCGACTAGGAGATATATTGCTAGTATGCATAATTTTTTTCGTAAAATAAATATACTAAACAGATTCTAACCACTAGTATTAGTAGATTATAAAGGCATTATTAAGTAAAACAAGTTTGTAACATATGTAATGGACATTTAAGGCGATCAGAGGCAAGAGAAACCTACCTTGACCACAATACCTTATTAAGTGTAAGGCCTACAACTTTTTTTATGTAGGCTAAAAAAATACTTATATCTCCTTTTATGGTATGTTTGCCTTTTTTATTCTGTTCATAATCTTATAATGCATTCTATAATTTTTATTGATAGAGATGACAATTGAAATAAATTAAATGATAAATGTTCAATATATATGGACTATTAGCTTTCGTTCGCGACTTCGCCCGCGTGGAATTAAGTAAGTAAGTAAGTAAGCTGATAGCTAGAGGCGCAGATGCTGTATTTTATCAGCGATTACAGATTGTGGTATGTGTATGGCAAAATTAAATTTTGTACACAGGTTGAATTTTACTGACCTATTTCTATAACATAAGCAAGTTTCAAACTAAAGCTGTCATTAGACTCACCTCAGTTGCATATAAGATATCCAATATTTTCGTTATAATGGGAGCAGTTTGTTGTTCTTCCATCTCTTGACAGATGACCTCTATGTCTCGAAGCTTACCAAAGTAGAAATCTCGTTCCTTCTCCAGACCCTCAACGGTTGCTTTTAATTCATTGAGCTGGGAATATAGAACAATTATGACTATTTTAAAATGTCTTTACTATTATCGTGGGCGTTGCTACTAGGGCATAATTGTAGAATTAAAAAAAAAAACGCTTCGAAATTACTAGTAGCCCCTTGTTAGACTATGATACAAAATAAAGAAGATATGTTTATAATAGTTTAAAATCAGTGAATGTGTTGCCATAAATTGTTTAAATCCATTATTTTAACTACATATTTATTTATCAATTAGTTTAATACATAAGTCAATAATTTTTTTTTAACTTACCTGAATGTTCAAATCATCAATGGCTTTAGAATCTCCTTTTGAATTCTGTATTCTTGCCAAATTAACGGGCGGCGACCGCACTGTGCTGTTGGTCTTGCCAACTGTTAAATGGAGAAAATATCATAAATTACGACTGACCTGAACTGAAGAAGCTTAAGTAATTAATTAATAATATTTCTATTAATTGCTTTAACAATGGTGCAACTCAATATTTTACATTTTTAAAAGGTCAGAGCAAAAATTTAATTTGGATTCTCACAAGAATTGAATAAATTAAAATTTGTTAATAATAAAATGTAACAATAAAGCAATTTTCTTATATTAGGATAGGGTTTAATACAGTTATAAAATATTGTGCAAGACTTCATTCAATGTGTATTTGGATTGGTAGCAAATGAAAAATAAGCCAACATAAAAGATGGAGGGAAAGAAAAAAAACAATCATAATAAAAATGAAAACTAAAAAGTTATGTTAAAAACAAATAAAAAAAAACTGTGAATAGTAGTGCGCCAAATCTAACAAGTTTGTGACTAGTTTTAATAGTGCAATTAATGGTCATAGTTTACAAAAATATATCTATATAATTATTAATTTCATCAAGCAATGGTTCCAAGGATTCCAATCTAAGAGAATAATTTATAAATTTAATTTAATAAGCTGTCAGAATAAAGCGTTACGTGGGTTGAAAGAATTAAAGAAACACATAGTACTACTGGTTTGGGGTCTAGCGGCGACTTTGGCGATGGGCGCCGCCGGTTTCTTGACGTTGGAGGCGCGCGGCGCGGCGGAGCCCCCGTGCCCCATGGGTAGGCCCTCGCGCTGCGCCACCGCGTCATATTCCATGCCGCCGTAATTGGCATCGAAAAATTTCTTGAACCATTGCAAGAATTCAAAGTTGTCTTGAAATCTACCCTTTACCAGTTTGTCAATGGGTACTATCTACAAAAGAAAAAACATAATGGAAAGATAAAATAAAAGGAAAGTCGAGATGTTTTCTATGATGAGTGCTGTTGTGCAGGGAATGGGATACCGAAGTGTCTCGTATATAGAAATACATTGCAATTTGTTTGCGGCACAATGTATTTCTAAATATGATATTAAATATTTCGGCTGATGCATACTGCCGGAGTGGTGTAGGGGCGCAGCCCTGCGAGCGCGAGGCGGAGGCGCGGCGGCTGCGCACAGCGGCACACCGCTATCGCACGCTCCGGACCCGATCGTGAAACCCCCTCTAACATCGAAGGCGTCGTATTCCCGACCGTCATAATTTGCATCGAAAAACTTTTTAAACCACTGTAAGAACTCAAAATTGTCTTGAAACCTCCCCTTTATTAACTTGTCCACAGGTATTACCTACAAAATTACACAGGGAAATGTTGAATCATGTTGAGTCACAACTTATATGAATTTATGCTTGCATATTTAGCAGTTAATTTGAATTTCACTCTTATCACAAGACTGCAAGTAAATATTCAACTCACACATTCAAGGTACAAAAAGTTTGTACTTTGTACTAAAATCATTGATTGTTGCAAGTGAATACATAAATTTACAACTTTTTTAGTATTCACCACATTAAGGGACATATTGTAGCATATTAACAAAAGACAGAATTCGTTTTCATGTTCTATTTTGAAAGTTCATATTTACATCATGTTTAGTTTCTACAATGGTTTGTATTGATATTGCACAATTTATTACAATAGAATATTAATAATCCAGGAAAATTTAATATAGCAATATAGTAACAACAACAACAGCAACAGGATGTCCTATAGGTAGATTAACAGGAAAATTATTACAGCCCTTACAGCAAACAGAAATTATATTTGAAATTTATATAGGAGGGTATTTTTAAATAAACATGAAATTACTTAAGAATTTACTGGTTTAACTATTTTATGCTATATCTACTTCAGTAGATACCAGATTCATCTGGTAATGTCAAACATGGTCCATATTTTTAAATAATGACTAGCTTTCGCCCGCGACTTCGTCCGCGTGTATTAAAAAAAAACAAAAGTGAGTAGCCTTTGTGTTCTTCCAGACTATCCTCTACATGTGTACTAAATTTCTTCTAAAACTGTTTAGCCGTTTAGGCTACAAACTCTAACAAACATCTATCCATCCATCCATCTAAACTTTCGCATTTATAATATTAGCATGAAGTATGATTATAAAATGTCTAACAAATTCATTTTTTAACCTCAGTGAAAATAATATATTCTATCTTCACTATACTAATACTTATTAGATCAATGTTTGTGAATTTATGTTTACTAACATGTTTTCATAAGAGACGAACATATTTTAAAAATAATAATAAATTAATGTAAATTAAATGTTACATGACTCTAAAATGTCTTGCACTAGTATACTAACATAACATATACTAATGCATAATTCATATTGCATTATATTTTTTGCAATAATATAGAGATTAAAATATATTTCAATATTTTAACATCATAAATAAATACCATATTTATTTAATCAAAGATATTATTAACAACATTAGTGCTATAAAGCTTTTAATTTTTAATTCAAAGTAATTATTCAATTACTTTTCATTATAGGTCCCACTTAAATTTACATATTGAACACAGGCAGTGAATTTAAGCAGGAGTGTTGAAACTTGTAGTCCGACAATTAAAAAAACTGCAATTATAACAGAGAATATTGTACATATTGTCCTAACATTTTGATGCCTACATTAGTAATAAAGTATCTAAGTAAAACTACTCTATGAGCCAGAAACAATTATTTTCCTTACCTTGTCAACACCCATTTTTTTGAAAGCGGCCTGTAATATTTTAAAGTTCTGAATATATTCATGTTCCAAATTGGTCTTGAATTTGATCCTTTTGATAGGTACACTACCGGGGAACAGCATATCCATGAATTGACAATAAGCGGCGCCTGTGCATAGCTCTTCTATTTTAGCAAAATTTGATTGTAAGCAGTCGTTAACCCACGCCAACATATCATGCCGTGATAGATTTTCAGAGGTAACATTAGTTGAATATACGTTCACTGCCATTTTTTATATTGCTTTGCCCGCAGTTTCTAAAAAAACACAAGATATTTTAGTAAGTCAACCATTTGAAGACATTATAAGACACCGACACCTTCGAAGCAAAAAAAAGAAAGCCGTTCTAAAAATAGGTCGTACCACCAAGATGAAATGTTTAGTTAATAAAATAACATAATTTAATTGTACCGTAGGAACTGAACAATAATCCCGGTGTTTTACTGATACGAAATGTTGCCAAAAAGACTACTTTTTCGTTTTAATCAACGCGGCGGATGTGGGAATGACAGAAGTCGACTCATCAAAAATCTCTGTCTACACTTTTGAAGGTATAATACGTGTAAATACTTTCTTTTTATTTATGAACAATTTACCAACCTTAAATGTGTAGGCGAATTATTGTTAATGTCCACTTATATCTTTTTTGTGAACAATGCGGCCAAAGCGGTGTTTTTTTTTCCGAAATTACTCGCCGTCGAACTATTACTCATAGACAAGGAATATTTTTCCAAAGCATCATCTCAATAGTGATTGAGTAAAACGGTATCGGTTTAACGGTAATTAAGAAAGTGTTTTATAAAAGTTTTTGGATAAAATCTTTAGTTTAGTTATTGATGATTTTACATCTGCTAAAATGTGATTGTACAAAATTGTACAATATTGTAATAACTCCGATTACATCTTCAATACTTTTTTTCATTTATGTGGGGTCCTACAAAAAGAACTGCCCCTTTCTGTTCCAGCCTAATAAACTTCCATCCCATACTTTTCTTATAAGAATATGGTGGGGCAGCAAAAGAGGGCTAGGATTTGGCTTTGGTTAGGCATATTTGTCAGGCGAAATATGGAAACTGTTTCACTTCACGGCTGTCTCCTGTATTAACGTAGCACGACTGCTATCGTGCAACAACTAAAGCCGCTATGCACTATACAACCGTGGGAACCATAAGGAGCCTTTCTCCACAAATGCTGGTAATGTTTATTTGTAGTGTAGCTTCGGCAGCACTAGGAATCATAGTTCTTTGCTTCTAAAAACAACACATTTAATTTCTTTAAACAGTTACCAAGTAGATTTTGAAGTTTATTTATTCTTTGATATCGTGCGAACAACATGTCAAGAAGTGTTACTGTCACTGTCAGTGTCATTGCCTAATGTCAACATTCACCTTGTTATAATCAAGATCAAGGATCCAGTTTTAAATACATAAACAATGACTTTATCCTATTCAAATTTTGTTCATCGCAGCGGGCAGTGGTATTATGCATTTCCAAGTGATTGCAGTTTTCAAGCTTACGTTTTAAATGTAAAAAAGATACCAAAAAGCTATATAACTTAATTTTAGCATTACTTTGTGCGAAATAGTGTTATCATTTAATTGAAGTCGTATTTAGTTGCAAATAAAATTGCTATAATGACGCAAAATGACGATGGGCCTAACGAAACAAATTCAAATATCAACACAGATTGTGTGAATTCTAATAACAATAAATACAAAATTACAATGGAGTTGCCCTTGTTTTTTACTATGATGGCACTTTCACTTTCTGGTAAACTTTTTTTTATTATAATTGATAGTAATTGAATTTACAATATTGTGCGAAATTTCAAGAACAATATATAAATTTTAAGGTGCTGTAACAAGAAACATAATCTTGTATCGTACATGTGTGCATTCATTAAATCACAGCAAGAATGAATGTGAAGGTTTTCTTTCTCCATCAAAAGCGAATGTCACACAGCATTTGGAGGAAGAAGTACAGAAGTATGAGGCATTTGTGTCTATGGTACGGATAACATTTGAATCCATAGCACCTGCTATACTTTCTTTATTTCTTGGTGTATGGTCAGATACCCATGGACGCAAACCTTTAGTTGTGTGGCCTCTCTTTGGTGAGTTACTTTTTAAAATCTACATTTATGTATAATTATTATAGAAGTTGTTTTATACAAGATTATTAAGAAACTTTTACTGATTCTAAATGTAAAACCATACAACTGTAGCTTATAATATATTTCTTAAGTGGAGCATAAAAATTATTTTATGCTATGCAAATCTCTTTTCTTTAGGAAAAGCTGTTGATGCATGAATAGAATTATTTTCTAGGTATGTGTATAAGTGGAGCATTGACAGTTATCTATAGTATGATGGATTTCATGGGACCCTGGTGGTATATTCTGACAGTCATTCCTACATCATTTCTGGGAGGCTATACATCACTATTCACTGGCGCATTTTGTTATGTCAGTGACATCACATCAATAGAAAAAAGGTCTTTTAGGTAAGTACCGCTATAAACTGGTGCTGAAAGAAATAGAGGGGTCAGCAGCATCAACTAATTTATTGCCATTACAAAGAACACAATAAAATAAAGGTATTATGACATTTTGATTACTGAATTCCAACTAAACAAGTATAAACCAAGACAAACTTATTCAATATTGCTCAAACATTTTAATTTAAAACTTGTATTCTCATCTTTACTAATATTATAAAGAGGAAAGATTTATATTCTTGTATGTATTGAAATAACTCAAAGACTACTTGGCTGATTTTAAAAAATTCTTTCCCAATTAAAAAGCTATGTTATAAGGGAGTAATATTGGCTGTATTTTTTTAATAAGCAAAATCTATTTTGCTTATACTCAGTTTATTCTTAAGTTTAACTTTATACAGCATTTATTTGTAAAGCTGTACTAAGAATCTAATACAAAATAAAAAGAGATCATAAACATAATTTCCGTAACACACAAGCTAATAACAAGAACTCCAAGAATTATGGAAATAAACAACAATGGATATAAACTCTTCTCAGTTGACTATAGGTATATACATATAACTTTGTTACATGTTTATTTAGATTTATATTATAATTTATATTGTATATTATTATAATAGCTAGATTTTTTTGTGTTAAACCAAAAGTGTGCTTATGGAAATGCTTTTACCAATAAGTGCATAAACTTGCTATAAATAAAGATTTTTTATTGTAGGATGACTTTAGTGGAAACTGCAGTCTCAATTGGCAGTGTTATTGGAGCAATGGCTAGTTCATATGTCTTGAGAGCTGTTGGTATTGTGTACCTTTTGTTGATAGCGGCAACACTTTATGTATTTGCCTATGTATTTACTATAGTGTTCCTGAAGGAATCATTACAGGGTGCAGTTGAGGTAATTATTTTTAGAATTCACAACATATTTAATGTGCATTTAGGACTTAAATAAGAATGTTCACCTTTCAATAAGTTCCCACAGTCAAAAGATTGTTACAATTAATTAAATATCATACATAAGAAAAGAATATCTTGATGTAAATTTGCATAAATTATTTAAATGACATTATATTGTTTAACTGAATTAAATATATTTATATTTATTTATTTACAATTGGAAGCGAACATAACACATGTATTTTTATTTCTTATTTTATTATCTTTATATCTGTTCCAGGGCAATTTACTATCTGTATTAGATTTCTCTCTTATAAAGGAGATGGGTAAAAAATGTTTCAAGAAGCGACCTAATCATGGACGTGCTCAAATTCTTTTGCTGACATTTGCAAACAGTCTTTCCATATTCATAATGATGGGACTAATGAATTTAGAATACAATTACACAAGGACCAAACTTCATTGGGCTGTTAAGGAGTATACAACATTTTCAGCTGTGAACACAACAATTACATTCCTTGGGTCTTTAATTGGTGTTATTTTGGTACAAAAGTTACTAAGAATCAGCGATTTGTTATTCTCAATGTTTGCCTTCTTATCTTCAACTGTGGAATATCTCATAAAGACATTTGCAGTAACAACATGGTTTATGTACTTGGGTAAGTTTAATTTTTCTTTCAATCACATTTAAATGTTGTATCCTTTGATACCATCATTATTGATACAGCTAAATAAAAAACCTTGGTAATAATAAACCTGGCAGTTGTGTCCAAATGTATGAAATAAAAACAAAGAAATATAATTACATACAAAAATTGTCTTTATTCTGTTAGCAAAAGATATACATTTGAATGCTATGTTGTGTAGGTACTTTGTCTCGATTGTATAATTTTAGCGTTGTGCGGTCATGAACTCACGAATGTGTCATTTTATATTCAACAAAATTATCGAGTGATGTAAAATTAATGAGCTTAATGTGAAACGATTCTTTAAATTCAGACCCTAATAAATAAAACTATAAATACACATATAAGTAATGATAATTGATAATAACAGCTGGCTAACAAGTGATGTATACCAGATGGCAATCTCTTATCCGTCAGTATCCACTGCCTAAAGTGCAGCAATGTATTGTTGTCTCTGTTTGTTCAGAGAGAATGAACCAGACAACAATAGTTTGTGTACAGTCACCTACATAAATATGTATACACTTACCAAGCTATAGAAACTTGTATACACTTTCAAAAATATGTAGAGTGTGTCTGTTCGTATACTTTCGACCATGAATACACTATGATGGATATATATGCATATTTTTAAAGCCAAAAGACTGTACAAGTTTTTGTAAATGTTTGCATATTAATGTATCTGACTGTACATATGTTTCTGATAAACTCTTTTTTAATTACATCCTATGACCTCAATAAGCCTTTTGCTGATGCACATTATTCTATATTCGAATAACGGCCGAACCTCCATCGTCCATATTATGTTCTAAACCGGTTAAATACGAAAATAACTATATGCTCCATCGAAATCCGACTCTGAAGGACAATGCATGAAAAATATCGCGATTTTTTTGTCCTACATAATGTTTACGTAAGCTGCGACGGTTTTGAGGGTAGATTTTAATGGCTTTAAAACCCAAAAACGAATTCTTAAAACAAAACGATTTTAAAAACAAACTTTTCAAACATAAGATAGTATGAGTTCTTTTTTTATTACAATATGTTTATTGATTTAGGTATACCTTAAATTATATTTAGAAGCTTTTTATAGTAATGTGTTTTTCTTTGCTAAATTTATAGGTGCCGGAGTATCAATGTTCAAGGGTCTTTCGTCTCCATTAATCAGGTCGATGTTGACAAAGATGTTACCACCTGATGACATCGCGAAAGTGTTCGCTCTGATGTGTGCTATCGAAGGCGTAGCACCTTTGGTGTCTCCAGCCATATTCAGCTCTCTATACGCATATACTATCAAGTCATTCCCCGGAGCGATCTATATACTGAGCAGCGCTATTACAGGACTATGCGTTGCTTTATTAGGGTAAGTGTATGGTGCTGTATAGATTACTAAAACGATACTAAAAAGATATGCATTCCAGTATGTGCTGCAATGTTATTAAAGCGCTGTAAATTGCAGCGAGTTTTAATGTGTTTTGTAATTCATTATTCGGTCATTAGTAAATGGGTATTGTACATACTTACTAATATTATAAATGCGAAAGTTTAGATGGATGGATGTTTGTTAGAGTTTGTAGCCTAAACGGCTGTACGTATTTTAATGAAATTTGATATAGATGTAGAGGATAATCTAGAAGAACACATAGGCTAGTCACTTTTGTTTTTATTTAATTTCACTCGGACGGAGTCGCGGGCGAAAACTAGTAAGTAATAATGCAAACCTTGAGATATTTTTAGCGTTAAATATCTATCAATCCGGAAAACGAGAATGGGAATAAAAAAAATTCAAGTGCAACAAGTTTAAATCTTAAGAAACTCTTTGCCAATTATGAGAAAATAAAGTAACAAGTTGATACGTTTTAATATGTTAATAATACTAAAGTACTATTAACGTAATACCTAAACTAGACATATTAAATAGACTGGACGTTGATTATAAATTCAATTTATGAAACTAGTTTTAGCGTTTGTCAGACGAAATGTAAAATTAAAATATTTTATTCGATTAGATTCAATAGAATTTCCAAAGGTTATGTTTTGTTACTAATAAAAATTACCAAAGTTATTAGCGAGCGTGATTAGAATCGTATTGCGAAATCGAACCTGCAAGTAAACCGTAAACATAACTATAAGATAATTTGCAATTACATTTGTGCTTACATAAAAACAATGAAGTACAACAGGTATGGGCAGCCAGCAACAGCGGATCCAGGGATGGGGTCATGGGGGTTATGACCCTCCCTGAGCTGGTTGGACAAGAGCTTGACAAAATATATTTACATATTTTGTCAAGCTCTTGACTTGACCACGACTATGTGACCCCCCCTGGCACCAAAGCTGGATCCGCCCTTGGCAACCAGCAGGTGTTGAGGACCAAAGTTTAGCGTGCAAATATGTTCGTGGGCCGCAACTCTAAATAATTTGATGATTGCGCCTCACTGCACTCCCTGAGTATAATGTATTTTTTCAAAATCTCTCGCGGTCCGGATCATATGTTACAGCAGGCCGGTTGTTGCCTATATATAAAAAACAATATCGTACGCTTTCAAATCCTATAATCTCATCAAAAAATGTTCAGATTGAATTTTATGAAATGTAACTTGACTTTACTAATGACAAAACGTACGAGTCAATGCAATTTGTAATTAAATCATTGTTATTGAGGCATATTCCATATTGTAGCTTATCTATTGTTAACAATGACAAAGCTCAGTTACGTGCATTACGATAAACGTCCATGTTTACACATTTTATAGAAATATTGAGATAAGTGCATATTCAATAACAGACTTCAACACAATCTGTTGATTAGATAAATTCTTTATCATTTCTTTATGTAATGGGTAAATTAAAATGGCGAATTATTAATTGTTATAATAATTATATGGAAATAGTATACAATTTTATTCATAAGAAAGTAAAAAAACTTATGCTAATTGAACTAAGAAAATACAAAATATACTTGTTCAGTATACCTTATCAGGGAACTGGTTGACCTTTTGATTGGACAAGAAACATGTTTTTTTTTTTACTTTTGGATTATTTGGCTTTATTACTGTTTTTCATTTATTGAGAGTATTTATAAAGTGATTTAAATAAAAAAAATAGTTTTTGTATACATTTTTCTACATTATGAATGTCTTTATTCCAGAATCGTGCAATACTTTATATGGAAAGGTGGATCACAAACCAGTTTCCAACAACTGGAAGAAGAAGAAGAATGAACCCTAATTATAAAACTTTTATATGGTGCTTTTACTTAACTTTCTTTAATTCAATTGTCACAAAAAACACTTATTTTCGGTAAGCGTTTAGTTTAAGGTTTAACATATTTTTTGGACTTAAAAGAAAAAATCTTTATCTATCTTTGTATTCCTAGGAGTTGCCAGTGTGAATATTTTTTTTATGTTATTTCGACTAACAATGTTTACATGTAAATAGCCCTTGTTTCGATATTGTATAATATATGTAGTTGATTTTACGATTTAAAATTTTACTCTTTTACGTTTTTATAAAAAAAAATTAAACAAACATTGCAATACAAAAATGATATCGTAAGCTTTACATTTTGTACTTTTTTATTAAATCTAGTCATCTTTGCAAACTAAACATGTATGCTAGAACTCTGTCAAGAGTTTTAAAAAACTTTTATGCAAAATGTTACCATAGTGTAAGTTTCTACCTGCTAGAAAACAGCGAAAATTGTAATTGGATTATAGTTTGATAAAAACAAATACCAGCAGCAAGCAGCTGAATTCTGAAGTGCAATATAATATGCTTATATATTTAGTAGTAAAACTACTGTCGCTATCTTTTCGCTTATATTTTTCCAAAAAGTTACCGTTAACTATATCTTTGTATTGTGTAACAGAAAAAGTATATTTACAGTTTTATAGATGCATTAAGTTATAATGTAATATTTCTGAAATATTTTGTACCAATTTGAAGTATGTATTTTAATACAAATGTAATTAACAGCTAATGTGTTGTATTATGTGAACATTTGCCTTTAATCATCTTCCCTACCTTATCCTACTTCCGTAGGATCGGCGCACCGGGTTTTCGTCGATAACTTTATCATCCATTATGTCTCTCTTCTCTCCCTCTCCCTCCTTTCTTACTCACACCTTTTACACAATCCATCCGTTTCTTTCTAGTTTTACCTCTACCTGTGTATTCCTTAACACTTATAAATAAAGCTACCTTAAATAATTTTCCTTTAATATCTAACGTGAGGAAATTTTTTCATTAAAAGTTTTTATGTAATTTTGATTGTAATGTGCACGTTTGAAAATAACGTTTTTTTTATGTAAAAAAACTACATACACACTCTATGTCGTACTCTCTCACACAACATAAACATTACACACTCTTTGTCTGTTTTTTATTTTTAAAACAGTGACATGTGTCAAATTGACATATAAGCAGTAATCAAGGACAACAATGATATTTTTTCAATTTCATTTGAATATGTTAAGCGATGGTTGTGTATGGTGCAGTTCCTTATTATGATAGTAATTTTTTGTGTATTCTAATAGTAAATTAGGAATGACAAAAATATTAGAAGAAGACTAACGGACTTGTTTTAGTCTCAGTGTTATAAAGTTTATGTACCAATAGAATATGATACAAAGTTTTGAGTTTATAGTTTTAATTATTCTCTATGTGTAATAACAGTGAGTTTTCGAAGTTAAATTAAACGGAATTATAATGGCAAATGACGAGGAACATCTCGAAGGAAATACTCCAAGTATTAGTATACGGGGCCCACCAGGGCGACCTTATAAAATGACTATTGAACTTCCTTTATTTCTGTGCATATTAGGTTTATCTTTATCAGGTAAGATATCTTTTCTTAAATTATTAATTAACTCTGTGCTTTCCTCTTACTAATAAAAAAAATATCTTTTTCAGGTTCTGCATTAAATAATATTATATTTTTCCGTACATGTTCTCATTTATTAAACCATACAGAAGAAGAGTGCAAAGGTTTTTTGTCACCAATAAGATCTAATTCAACAAAATTATTGGAGAATGATGTGCAGGGATATGCCACATTTGTTTTAACAGTTAAAACAGTTATGGAGTCAATTGGACCAGCGATAATGTCATTGTTTCTTGGTGTATGGTCTGATACTTATGGAAGGAAGCCTTTGATTGTGTGGCCTATGTTAGGTATGTAAATTTAAGTAATATATTAGGGATAAAGTTGCTATTTCCTAAAACATTATACTATCATAGTTTAAATGCTTTTATATGCTTACTAATGGTAACTTTTTACTTTTTAATACTAATGCATTTTTAAAAATAAATGACACATAGCTATTTATATAAATTTTAATCCTTCTAATATACCACCTCGCCTTGCACTTGTTATGATTTTCATGGGTTTTAAATACAAATTTAAATTTTATATGCATTAATATATAATCCTTTATTTATTATATTTATTGTTTACTGATTTTTATGATATCTCTTTCATAATCTTTGAGAAAATGTGATAATAATAATTTTGAACAGTTGTTCAGGTAGGAAAGCAATGTTGACAGTAAAATTGACTTGTTTCTCATTTTGTTGTGGTGCTTGATTCAAAGGCTAATATATAGTTTATCAAAGTATTTATCTTTATCCATTATAAAATATGATATCTACTTTATTTCATGAGTCACTAATTTATTCACATTATATCATGTGTTTTCTTTGTTTAACAAAAATCTTAACATATAGGTGTACAAAAGCGGATTGTTAAAGATGAATAACAAAGAGCTCCTTTATTGTGGACAAAATTGCAATTATTTTTAATTGAAAATAAAAAAGTCTTGATTACAAATTCTGATTTGAATTTTAACCAGTAGGCAACCACTAGTATTTTTAACTGCCTCATAAGATGACATTTTAGTTTTCATCCTAATCAATATCATTTATGAATGAACTATAGTCATCATAACCTTTTATTTTTTACATAAATAATTCAATGGTTAAATTTAAATATTTGTATCCCTAAATCAGCGCTTATTTTACAAATAAGCACCTTAGCTGAGTAAAGGCCTTATCCATTCAGCACTCCAAAGTTATAAAATACCTTTACAATATTTTTTTTTAAATTTAATTGCTAATTATGTATGTGTGTGTATTACGTACGCAATATAAATAATAGAAGGCTAGTGTCTTCTAGTATTCTGTAATTCTCTGTCTTAGCATGTGTGTTTTATTATTTTTATTCCCTCAATCTTTTATCTGCTACGCCTATGTTATTTAAGTTCGGAATGGATTAAGTTATTACAATTATTAAATTTTGCTTTATGCATGTTATCTTTGTTAATTTTAATATAAAATTTCGGTATTCGCATGGTTTGAATTGAGTTTCAATATGTTTTATTCTCTTCTATAATATGTATTATTTACATAGAAATAATTGAATGGTTGTGGTATATAATTGCTTTTTAGTATTGGTAGTTGTATTTTGGTTTTAAAATTTTAGGTTTAGCCCTGTCTTCTATGCTGATCGTCGTGTATGGCTTAATAGATTTGAATCCTTGGTGGTATATCTTAACAGTAATACCCTTCTCGTTTACGGGTGGTTTCGTAGTAATGTTTACAGGTGCATATTGTTATGTGAGCGATATCGCAACTACTGAAAGTACTACACTTAGGTAATATATGAAATATATTTCTGGCACAAAAAACTAACAACCTAACCAATATTGGCTATAAATTAATTTATAACAACTTTTTTGCATGAAATGCAAGTTGTGTCTTGTACTGTGTTTGATTTTTTAGAATGTTCTGTTAATATATTGTATACTATTCTATATAATAATATTTAAGCAATAATTAAAGCTGGTATTGATTTTTAAATGTTTTTTTTTTCAGAATGGTTTTCATTGATGCAACAATTTCGTTAGGGAATGTCTTAGGATCACTGGTTAGCTCATACTTAATTCTATTGATTGGCAATGTTAATTTGTTACTAGTGACGGCTAGTTTGCATGTTTTGGCATATGCATTCACCAATGTGTATGTAAGAGAGTCGCTGGTTGGAGCTTTAGAGGTAAGAAACATTGTAATTTTGTTAAATATATTTGTTATGCAAAATAAACATTGACATGCAAAAAAAATCTAGACAAAAATAGTTTACAGGTAACTTCAATATGTATTTGTTTAATCTTGTCATCTGCATGTTGACACTTGGTTTTTACAATGTTTATACAATGTTTTTGTTGCTATAATCCGTAGCAAACATGTAACTTCGTCAATCGCATTTTGTACAGAGAACTGTTTAATTCAAAGTGTTGTTATTCTGTATGCATTGCACGATTGCATCCTGCATAAAAATGTTTTTCTATTTTCGAAACAATAACTACGACCTCGCGTGTTAACCGATCGCAATGGAATTATCAATGTTTAAATCTTATTTATTTCAGGGAGGGTTTTGTAAGATATTGGACTGGCTGCACGTTAGAGAAATGGTACATGAATGCTTTAAAGAACGACCGAATCACGGAAGAGTGCAAATTCTGTTACTAATATTCGTGAGATGTATATCAGTGTTCCTTTTGTTTGGAACTTTGGGTTTGGAATATCTGTACTCTAGGACAAAGTTGAACTGGGCTCTGGACGATTACAACACATTCTCAGCTGTGAGCACTGCTATACTATTTGTGGGGAGTTTCTTCGGTATAATGGTTGTTCAGAAGTTGTTGCGGATAAGTGACTTAACGTTTGCTATCATGTCGATGTGTATGTCTGGCACTGAGTTTTTTTTAAAAGCATTCGCTGTGACGTCATGGCAGATGTATCTAAGTAAGTGAAGTTTATTTCTTTTGAACATATTGTTATCCCACTCATTATCCTTGAAAAAACTGAGATAAGATGTGTTTTGTACTCGTTTCGGCAATGGAAACACTACAATAGACCGTGAGCCGCGTTCCACGGTGGATAATTTATATGAATCACCTTATTGACAGTCTTTTTTGCTGTTGACGAGACTGTACCTAAAGTTGCCTTTCTAATAATCGGTTTTAATCTTATCGTGTAACGTAATTCAGTCATAAGTCAATGATAAAATTCTATATGATTTGGCTTTGTTATTTCAACTTATCACACATGAAAAGGGCTGCCAATACTCTTTTCCAAGTCATCCGAAATCGTTTCTCTTTCGTCTTCCACTTGGATCAAGTGACTAATCGTGTTTTTCGCCGCTTCGTGTCTTGTTTAATAAAAGTCGGCAGCCCTACACGTTATGAATGACGTCATCAATGACTGAATTCCGTTTTGCATGTTCTTGGCATATCTTTCGTTTTTAAATCAAAATAAACACGTAAGTATGTATTAGAGATACTGATGATTCTTAGAAATGAAGATCCAAAATAATTTGTGTGAGTTTAAAAATCTATGCTATAAAAATAATATTTAATTTTATTATGAAGGAAACGAACACTCGTTAGGTTTATAAGATGTATTGTGGTCATTTCTTTATTGATACTTAATAGTTCCGAAAAAGGTATAATAAGTAACTAAATATTATGTTTTATATTTCCCAGGCGTATCAGTATCGTTCTTCAAAGACTTGTCGGGCTCGTTAATAAGGTCCTTTGTAACGAAGTCGTTTCCAGTGGAAGACATTGCGAAGATATTTGCTCTGATGTGCGCGTTAGAAGGCTTGTGTCCTATAGTTGCGCCAATAGTTTACAATACGATATACGGCCTCACTCTGACAACTTTCCCTGGAACTTTTTATCTAATGAGCTCTGGCCTGATTGCTGTAAATGTGGTGTTATTAGGGTAAGAACTTTTTACTTGCACTTTTTATTAGAGTATGGTTCAAAAATGAAAAAAAAATCAAGTTATAGTTACCTTCTAGTAAAGGAAACTTTCCTCTATTTATTTACAGAATGTCTGAGTAAGTCTGTTATAAAGCAATTTGCATTGTGGGTTTTTTATCCTTGATGTTATTAGATTGTAAACCGATATAAAAAGCCTTGTGCAATGACAATTAGATTATACCGAGAACGATGAATAATATGATTTTTGTACAAGGTGTTTGAAAGTTTCACAGTGGAAACTGACCCTTATTTTTACTTCTTCTAGGTTCGTAAAGTACTATTCCTGGAACGCGCCGACTGTTCCTTACCGATCCTTGGCTGATGAAGAAATTTAAACTTACAATATCTAGATAATTTAATGATCACGACCTCATGGTTTACTTAAAAACACTTTAGTAATAAGATGTTATTATTATTGTTTAGTAATAAGTAATATGATATATATTTTGCAAGTACTAATCATCCAAATATATATATAACGTATGACATAAAACGGGTTATTGGACCACAAGACTGTGATATTAATTGTAAACAATACTTTGAAGATCAAACAATTTCTTTTTTACAGTACTTCTTTTTCCAATGTATTTTTGTAGTGGCTTTATTTATGTTTGGATATATAAGGTTATTATTTTTAGTAAAAACAAATAAGCAAATAGATTAGTTTCTTTGTTCAAACCTTTTCCTTACTAGCGCGCAAAGTACGACCTTTTTGAATACTTTCTCCAAAACACTCATGATAGACCCTTTTGTAGTCTGTAATTGTAAAAGGCCATGACATGATGAAATAATCTTAAAGGAAATATATATAATAGTGTTCCTTTCCTAGAAGTACTACATAATAAAAGAATGCTGTCTTTTTTTCAAGATGGATAACTACAAGGAAATAAAAGTCAATATAATTTTTCCACAAGTCTAACTTAGTATATTTATAGAATAACACAGTCACGACTCGAATCAAATCTTACAAGTGATATCACCAAATCAAAGTCTTTTACAAAAAAGTAATGAATATCCTATTTTTTTTAAAGAGCCTTTAGAAAAAAATATCGTAATATTTATTACCCTGATTGTTTTGTTACTTGTAATTTAAATACAAATTTCAGTAATTAAAGAAACAAACAAACTCAAAACCAAATTCTCATGTAATCTAGGATTTAATCAAATTTGAACAATGTTGATTATGGCGGAACGTTAATTAAAATTATAAACCTATACTTAAACTAATCATCACAGGTTTATATAGGTTTTACAATCAAATGTTTTTAGTGAAGGAAAACATGACCATAGTTTTGTTTTACAACTACCAATAATTAACAATAATTGTTTATGTACGTTATTAGTAATTTAAATGCTCAAAACGTTCAAAATTATTTCAGCGTTCACTGCTCTTGCCTCTTTAGAGAAACATATTTTAAACCGAAATAGAACCTAAACTTCTTAGACTTAAGGTTCATAATCGAACTGTTTACATAGACATATGAATATATTTATGAAATAACAGCAACCACTGGTAATGAAGTACAATATATAACCAACTAACTGGCAATATTCTCTAATTTAAACAATGGTTCCACCATTTTGTGCTATTAATCTTTCATAGACACCAAAACTATAAATTTCTAATAGACATGTTATGCCTAAACAAAAAGAGATTCTAAACAAAACAATAACAATAACTAAGTATTTGTCAATCAACTTATAACTAAGTAAAAGTACAAGTAAAATATTGGACCTGCAATATTGTTCTTAGGCCGTACGAAGAAGTTGTCGATATCGAAAATAAATTTCTTTAAACTAAGTACTTAAATTTGCGATGTTAGACCATAATATGGACATGCACTTAGATAATGTACAAATGGACTGCGACTATGAAAAAAATCAAGAAATGACAGTCTTATCGATTAATCATAGAAAAGACGTATAACATTTTTGTACTAAGAAATCAAAACCCGGGCCCATAAAGTTTCAAGTGGTTCAATTTATCTGTCAATCAACAACTGTCTTTGTACGGCGCTGTCTAATTTGTGTTAGCTTTATAACAATGACATAAAATTATTGCATAATAATAACTATTATTAAAATTTTAACTGAGCAACTTTTAATCTACACATCACAGACCCTTACAAAATAAGATGCTTCAGTGATGCTCTTATAGCAAATTTAAACTTTAATTTGTACATTAGGAAAACATATAAAAAAAAAACAAAAACAGCTTCAATAAGCAACAAAAAAAGAACTTAAAACAACTTAAAAGTACAACGAAATGATGTATGTATTACATTTTACGTTTGTAAAAAGGATGATCGATGATCAAACATAAAATATAGTTTTAGTGTAAAAAAAAAACAAAGTGTTAAACATCGATTTTGTAAACGATTTTTTTTTTGCCGTATTTAAATCGATTTTACACCAATCATCCCTTATCTTATATTACTGTTAAAGTCAGTGAGGATCGTATTTGTACACAAGTCTTAAAAAATCACTTAACTACAATACTTGTCAATTTGCAGTCTTTAGGTCATATTCGGTATGTCCTAGTGGGGTAGGCAGAACTCTAGGAGTGAAGCACCAATGACATACATGCATCATTAGTTGCACTAGCAGCCTTTCGCCTTTTGGCAATCTTGTTATATATTTAACAATTATTTACCACTCCTCTTCGGGCTCCTGGCCTTGGACGATGTTGGAAGGCGCCTTACCAAAGTTCTGGAAATTATAAATTATATTTAAATAAGAAACAATTTACACATGTCAACTAGGATAAATATTCGAAGAGAAAAGGTTCATTTGTGAATTTAACATTAAATTTTATAACAATACTAGCTGTTGCTTGCGACTTTTCGCCCGTGGAATTTAAAAAAGTAATAAATGTATAGTATAGAGCTATAGATATCTAGAATATATAACTATTGCGATTTTATTGAACAACAACATTTATACTCACATCTTCCGAACTCTGGAGAGCATGACACAAAGATAATATACATTAATTTATCAAAAACACATAATACTAGATGTTGCTCGCAACTTCGTTTGCGTGAAATTAAAAAAAATATAGCCTGTTATTGATAACGTAGCTTTCTAACGGGGACGTAATTTTTAAAATCGGCCCAGTAGTTTTTGAGTTATTTCAATACATACAAAAGTACAAATGTTTCCTCTTTATAATATTGTTATAGACAAACATCTATACCTATAAAAATATGCTTATTTTTTAAATAAACCGAAGTTTTTTATTATTTACTTGCTTACGCCCGCGACTCTGTCCGCGTGATATTAAAAAAACAAAAGTGAGTAGCTTATGTGTCCTTCCACACTATCCTATACATATATACCAAATTTCATCGTAATCTGTTCAGCCGTTAAGGCTACAAACTCTAACAATCATCCATCCATTTATCTAAACTTTCGCATTTATAACATTAGCATGATAGTATGATCGAATTAATATAATGTGTATAGATACTGACCCGGACGTCGCTGCCGCCGTACTTGTTGCCGCTGTAGGTGGCGGTGCCGCCGCCCTGCAGGAAGTCGGGCACGGGCTGCCCCCCCTGCCGCAGGATCTTCGCCAGGTCCGCCATCAGCGCCACGTCCTGGTACACAAATACACATCAATTATTTGATATTCATTTACATGTTAATTCACCGCTCGGGCGTCGGTTGAATAAGTATTATTTTTTAACTATAAGAAATATATTAAACAGAACTTCTAAAGAGTTAAAACTAGACATCGACATGAATAGAAAAAAATTGACACTTGTGGTTTGTAACCTAAATTATCCTAAATGGAATTTATATTCTAAATTTATACTTAATTAGTTTTTGTTAGCGACATCGTTAGAGTGGAATTAAAAAAATTATAAAAACATAGCCGATGTTACTCACTGATAACATACCTTTTTTATGATGCAAGAATTTTTAAAATCAGCCCAGTAGTTTTTAAGTTATTTTAATACATACAAAAATACAAATCTTTTCTCTTTACATTTTTAGTATTAACCTTTTAACCGCCATTTGCGTGGTTTTTAAATTATGTGGTGTTATCTTGCAATTAATAATAATGTTACTTACATTGTCAGCATCAAAGAAGGAGACGGCCATGCCCCTGTTGCCGACGCGGCCAGTACGACCGATTCTGTGCACGTACTCGTCTATGCTCTTTGGTAGATCGTAGTTGACCACGATGTCCACGTTTTTGATATCTAAGAGAAAAATATGTTTAATTAATTCTTACATACACCTATAGCTGAATGCAGAAAGTTAAATGACATATATTGTTGATGTTTTATCAAAACATGAATTATTCCAATGATTACGTGGAAACTATTATAGTATTTTGCAATAACTGTACAAGTCGCTGCGTAGAAGACAATGTTAAGTAAAGCGTTAAGTAATAAATGGGAAGGAAGGTCAAGGCACAGAGCAAATTGATGCGGCAAGATATTAGAAAGAGATGAATGGATTGCATGAAAGGTGAAATAAGGTGAGATGTGTGAAGATAAGTGGAGATGTGTGCAGATAAGGAGAGATGTGTGCAGATGAGTGGAGATGTGAACAGATGAATGGAGATGTGTGGAAATGACGCAAGATGTGTGGAGATGAGGCAAGATGTGTGAAGATGAGGGGATATTTGTGAAGATGAGGGGAGATGTGTCCGGACGAGGAGAGATGAGATGAAGCGAGGTGAGAGGTGTGTTGTCGTGTACCCAGTCCCCTGGCAGCGACGGCGGTGGCGACCAGT